CAGAATACAAGAAATAGTTTCACATTAAACTTTCTCTCCATTCCATTTTAACCCTGAAAAAGCGAAAGGCTTTCAAAGCCTCCCTGTAACACCCATCTGATGTAACCAACAATCCTGACACCACTGATGACAGAAATGAAATTCTTCACCAAAGCTAAGCAAACAGCCATTAACTTTTAGAAGAAAAAAGAGCTAAAGAAGTTAAATACCTCGGTGTTTGGTGTAACTACCTTTGCCCTCCTTTCCAACAGTTATTTAATCCTCCTTACTTGTGTTCACAGCTGGGTATCAGCCTTCAGGAGCACTTTAGGACACAAGGACAGACACAGTTACTGACCTTGCGTGGAAGGCATTAGTAGCAGGTTCCTTTTAAAAGATAAAGGGATGCTTGCCTTTGGGGCGGCTGGCCTTTAGCTCTCATGGTTTCCCATCAACAGTGATGCTTGCTGTCACCTCAGAAGAGACATAGCACACATCGGAAGACCAAGGTCTCTGTAAAGTACCTTTTCAAAGGTAGTGTCAAAGGTACCTTCCCAATGCCCTTCTGCAAGGCTCAGTGCCACCAACACCCTTGACACAGCACCTCTCCTCTGCTGTACTAAGTAGACCTCCCATGCCTATTCCCTCAGCAAATTTTACTGCTAATAACAGGAAAGAAAAAGTATAAACTAGAACAGGAATGCTGATGGACTGAAGCACAGCAGAGTGAACACAGGCACTGACCCTACAGCCTGTGTGTCCCTGCAGCACCTCCTGGGAGAGCACAGGCTGCTGGTCCTTGCCCCTGAACAGGGAGCTGCAGTGGGGGTCCTATCTGGAGCTGCTGGCAATCAGTCCTTGCACTAACTGTGCTGCAGGGCTCCACGTTAAGAGATGACGGAGCACTCACCAGAGCCTGGAGAGCCTGGACAGCTTTACTTGGCTCCACCTGGTGGGCAAACAAGGTGCTTTGGGGTCACAACCACCCAGCCCCTCTTGACGAGTCACTGCTTTCATGAAAAAAAAAGATTATGAAGTAAGACTGTCTTCATTAACACCAACTTTGTGTCTCCTGTGAAGAACGCAATTCATAAAGAGTAAAATACATCACTGCTGGCTGGGATTACTTCCTGTATGTCTCTTTCTATTTCCACATATTTCAGCTATAGAGTTTACCTTCACAGGTCCCACACAAGTGAAACTGCATTCCTAAAAACCAGTATATATTTACAACCACCACTCTTGGGACTCAAAGTACCCTGGTGATCAAGCAATTCACAAACAGCTCCTAGGCAGAAATGGAGCAAACATGCACTTCCTACAAGACAACTGTCTGCTGTTACTACTGTGCATAATCACAGTGGAGTCCCTGTGCTCAGTTTCTCCATTCACCACCCAGGGGTTTGATTCTGCTTGGAAGAGTGGAAGGAGTTACAAATTGCACCCCCATGGTGTATGTTTCCTCAACAGAGACCTTAACCTACCTCTTCCCCAGCAAGTAAATGAACTGTAATAGGAGCTCGTGACAAAGAATACAGCAACTCCTTGAATTTGTCCTTGTCCTTGCGTCTCAACAAAACCCCCATAAACATTACACAGGAAAAAGATCCACGGCGCAATGAAAGGCAGGAGGTTATAATACGTCTCCATTTAAATTCATGATGGATTTCGTTTGCTCATCCACTGACAGGCTCTGGAGTAATTTTTCATCCTGCGTTCTCAGATTTTTATACCTGAGAAACAATAGAGGTCTGTTAATTGAACTAAGGAACAAGGCAGCCCCAGCTACTTTGTCTGTGCACCCCAGCTAATGATAGAAGCAAAAAGAAAATGCTTAGTTAAGTACCTTTGGCTGCAAACTGGATGCAAACCAGGGCATTAATAGCTCTCTTTAAGACAGACATATGGACTAAAGCCCAAGACTGTATCTCTGTAATTGTGATTACAATAGGTTTCTAGTCACTGAAATATGTGTCCCAGTTTAACAAGGTCCCTGCTGTCATTATATTCTTGCTGAAGTTAAAGCAATAAATAGTTCTGCAGTCTTGATTTCTGATTTGAAAAGAAACAATACCAATAGCATTGCTATGGCTTTTTCAACCTCAGAGTTCCCTTCTGTCTTTATCTTTTTTATTACATTGGAGTTAATTTATTACAAGACAAAGCTATTTCTCCAAGTCACAACCATCCACTTGCAATAGCAATTGTATTTAATTAATTCCAGTATCAACTTATTTCATTTAGTGCTGAGTAAAACTGTTTCCTATCAAGCAAATCTGTTCCTTTTTAGGCCACATTTAGTCATTATCATGACCAAAATGCATTTTGATTTTTTTAATTCTTGAAGATGCAGACTTGGCTCATCTCAGACTTGTTCTAGCAAAACACTGTATAAAGGAAGGTATTATTGCTATTGCACAAGTGATGGGGTAGCTGAGGCACAAAGAGATGAAGTATTTCACCTCTGGAGGTGAAAACAGGAAGCGAACACAGCTCTGTGGCCTATATGCAGTACCATACACCATGATGTGACATCCATCCATCATGTACTGCATTGCTAAAGCTGCTTGCTATACTCACATAAAAGCTGCTCATTTTGCAAAGGCACTGGAAAAAAGAACAGATTCTGTTTCAATTCTGCTACGATTTCTGCTTGAGCTCCCATAGTGGAAACCCTCTGGAAAACAGGGGCTGTGCCTCTGGCTTGCACATTAAATGACATGCAGCTGTTTATTATCCATGGTGTCTATGTATCTCAGAGATGACAGATTTCCTGAATACACAGATATGTACTCATATGTGAGCAGCACTGATGAGCTGCATCATGAAATTTTCCCTGTCTAACCTAATTGCATCTATCCCAGGCAGTAATAACACTAAAGGAATTTCACAGCCCCTGTTCCCTGTTTCATAAAAAGCTCAGCTCTGAGCATAATCCACCAGGGCAATGTTTGAAAGCTACAGTGCACAGATGCAGTCACACAGAAAATTAGAACTGCTCAAATGAAAGAGAAAAGCAGCAGCTCTAGTAGAGAGCTGCGTCAGTACCAGCTCAACAGTGGAAAAGTACCTCAGCTGCTCAGCCTCTTTGCTTTCCTCTCTGGTAGTGACGTCAGGCACGTTAATGAAAGCTCCATTAGCATATCACCTTCTGTGTTCCAGTGTCCAAGTGGAGCAGCTCATGATTCTTTTCTAAGCTTTTAAATAACCACCAAAGCTGAGCCAGAGCTGCTGCTTGGTAGGGAGGACTTAGCTTCATAACATAGCCAGTTCCCAATGCCACACAAACAAACAGATGTGCCAACAGAGGGATAAAAAAACCCAACCCAGAACAGATGCATTTCTCTGAGGAAAGCAACATAAACCAGCTTCAATTCTAACAGCAGTCATTTGGCCCTTATTCCATAATAAAGGTTTTTAATTTCTAATTGAGTTTGAAACTTGCATGTTTGCTCCTCAAAATCAGGGTACAGACTTTGCTGAGCGTTAAGAAAGAAGCACCCTTGCTAATGCCCTGCCAGTATTTCAGCTGACAGTGAATAGCCATGGGACAGAAAGTGCATCCTTGGACTTGATGACCTTAAAGGTCTTTTCCAACCTAGTTGATTCAATGATTCTAGCATTGAAAAGAAAGAAAACCTACAGACAGTTTAACTTCAGAGTGGAGTCTTTGATGGGTAGGGCTCTATGTTCTATGAGTTCAGGGGTCTCTGAGTCCCCATGGCCCCCATTTAGCCATCAGTGTCCAAGAGAGGATAGCAATGTGTGGAACCCCACCATCCTTCTTACTGAACTCCTGCACCCAGCTCTTTGTGCCATGAGCCCAGCTGTGAGTGCTGCCATCCAGGGAGTTATCTGTCAATGCAGCAATGCATCAATAATTGGCACTAGATTTCAGTCCTGATCAAAATTAACAGTGGGGAAGGAGGCAAGATGTGAGGTCAAAGAGGCACCTGCTGAGGCAATATAATATTGACAGAAAAGAGTGAAAAATGAAAGGCCTAAGTCTGGAGCAAGGCATTCTCTATTAATCTCCCTGTACATGGACAAACAGGACCAGAGGCTGCTGCTAGACCTGACAGAAATCTTAAAGGGCACCACTGTCTTGTAGCATTTGGGGGCTAGAAACTGGGAAACCTGTCTCTGTCAATTCAACAGCAATGACAGGAAAGCACAAGCATCTTGCAGCGCTCTAAGCAAGAACTTCAACCCTGACCTAGATAAAGGCTATCTAAAAGAAACAGGAATTCAAGCCTAGCTGGACTGCCTTGGAGTCTCTGTTGAAGTTACAAGGCAAGTTTCAAGGTTCAGTTGGGTTTGTAAAGGGCTGGTGTTGATCATTCTGCCTAAATGGACAGCCTCTATGGAAATCAAACCCCAAACACAACAGAACACAGCAAGAGCAATCCTTCAATTCCCATACACCCTCAAAAAGCTTCTGCCCATTCCCCAGTCCCTTCAGTTACTGAGGTCCTGTCTTACCATAGCAGTGTTAAGACACAAAACAATCTGCAACCATCAGTGAACGCTTCACAAGCAGACAAAACTGCAACTTTTAAAAGGTCATGTTAAATGAGCTCAGGTCACCAACTGATTTTCAGCCCCACAATCCACACTTCTATTCAATAGCTGATCACATTGACAGGTTTTGCAGAAAGGAAGATAAAAATGCTAGCAAGTCAAACTGGCAGATGACGCTGCATTTAGGGCTTTATTAAACATGGCTACAGTGTGTGCAGATGTAATTAAAGCTTGGGCTTTGATTTGGCAAGCAGCCTCTATAAATAGCCTTTCTGTTACTCAGTTCTTTCTCCTCAGGGCTCCATCAAAAAGAAAAGATGTCCTTCAGCTCCTCCCCTACCCCTGGGATGATCACATGCTTTATAGCCCTGCAAACCTTGAAACAGCCAAACACCACAGCAATAATATTTGGGTAACTCGCTGTGGGAAGAAAGGGGATTATCTTCAAGGTGCTTTTCTCTCAGCAGTATCTTCCATTTGCTTGCCTGGGGTGGGGACACCAGGATGAAGGAGCAGGGCCAGAGTGCAGATTAAGAACACGGACTCCGTAGCATGGCTCCTTCCAAGTGAGATCTATCTTCTAAGTGATCTATGGGAAAAGGAGACAATATTGAAAAGCTTTAACACCGGAGTTACTTCTTGCCAGCTGATGTATTTCATCTCCTCATTTCTCAGGGGAGCTATATTTTGCTAATTATGTCTAACGAATTTTTAGGGTAGAATTTTTTCAATAGATTTTACATTCATTCCCACAGCACTGAAGAGAACCTGTTGTGTTGATCTAAGCCCATATTTAAGCTTTGTAGCAAACAGAGAGGGCACAAATAGGTTTAAAAACACCCCACAGATCAACAGAAATAGGTTTTAATTTCAGTTCTGCAAAAAACAAACCTTTGGTTTCTGAAAACTTACTTCCACTACACAATAAAGCAAACCAGAAATAGGAGTTGAGCTGCCCCTTTCAGCATTCAATAAACCCAGAAAACAACAAAATACAGGGAAAGGAATACTAGCTGCATAAACAGCAATAAGTAAAGTTGACACCTAATGCTATTTATTTTAATGCTTGAAATAGCATCCAAAATTAGCAATTTTAAACAATCCCTCTGTAAATTAGAATACAGGAGTGTCTTACAGTATTCTAACACTGGAGAGGATGAAAAACCCAAAATACTCTTTATGAAAAGATCAGTTGGCAAATCAGTTCTAGCAAAAAGGTATTTGAATGGAGCAGCGACAACTGGAGCTGACCTTAGGCAAGGTTTTCTTCCCAAATAGCCTTTAAATCCCTCAGAGGTACTTGGACAAGAGCAAAAGCAACAGCAATAACGCAACTGAGACAAACATCATGAGATCTTCTCCCCAGGGTGATTTAGATGGGTAAAAGAGATTCAGAAGTTCTCTCGCCCACTTTCAAGTCATGAACACCCATACGAAGTGGGAGTGAACTACACCACATCCAAAAGCAATGGTTTGGATTGACCTTCCTTACGCACCAGTGGCTCCAACTAAACTTCCTAAATGGCTCAAGTTTGCCTGTCCCTAAGGTGCCCTACAACAGCACGTTGCCACCTTTACCCTCCCTTATTCTAGTACAGTCAGGAGCTTGCTCCAAGTAAAGTGAAAGGAGAACTGAGCTTCTCCTTTCAAAACTAATGATGTGATTTGCAAGCTGGAATGGAGAAATCCTGCTTTTCCCCTTCCTGGCAGCTGGATAATACATCTGCACACAAAGTAGCTAGGAATCTAGAAGTACTCCTCAAAAAAAAAAAAACCCACTACTTAAAATGACTAATCTAAATCAATAATAAGAACACAATTGATTCTTTATTTGCTCCCAGTGGCTGCCCTTGTCGACTTACAGTATACTGCCTTCCTAAAAACCATAGGGCTCTTTGTTTGCTTCCAGAGAAAACACTTATTTCAGATAATCTTGCCTCCACAAAGTTATTTTTCAATGTTTCAGTCACTGCTATGCCTGCAGGAATGGCTGATTACCCATAAAATGCCTTCTGACAGCTCATATTCATTACTAAATTACCACATGTAAATGTTTCATGTGCACAGGGCAATTACTCTCCTGAATGACTGCCAGCGACATTCCACTGGATCTGAATGAATTTTTCAAGGATTCTAATTGCCATTTAGATGTCCCTATAAGTCTGGGTTTAAAGGGTTTCGTTCCTTTTAGTCGTGGTTATACCTGTGTTCAAGGCAAACGTGCTCCCTCTCACATTTCACATTGCTGCCAATTATTTACATCAGAAACAAAGGAATGTGAAAGTGGAGGTGCTACACAGGCTGCACAGTAGAAATGATTCATAGCCAAAGTCTTGAGCATGAATAATTATCTGTAACCCTCATTTGGAGTTTTTGCTTCAAGTTACATTATTCATAGGGCTTTTGGCAGTGGAAATGAATGAATACCAACTTGACAGACACCTTAAAAAATGCTAAGTTTTTCAAGTAGTTAGGCCAAACCAAACCTTTAATATCTCCAATGAGAGAAAAATGGGAACGTGCACATGGAATATGAGGGGTTTTACCACTGACAGTAAATAAAAAAAAAAAAAACAGATACGAATAGATGTTCAGAAAAGACAGCTGAGTTTTTCATTACACCACTAAGATAGGCTGGAGTTCTGACTTGTCTCCCAGTGGAGTGCCATCGGGAAGTTTCATTAACACAGTCTATTTTTTATGCCAAGGTTGTTCATGAAAGCAATAAATAAGAGCAAAAATAAACTAATCATTGATGAGTTCTCACAATAAACTCCAGCTACATTGATGCTTCTTTTTGTGTCACGTTCTTCATCCCAGTGCTTGCCCACTTCAGAGAAATCTGTTTCTCTATTATTCCTGTTCTCTATCAGCCTGTAGAGAGGCATCAAATCGAATATTCCCTTGAAAAGCAGCTAGATTAATGCTCCTTTATTTCTTTTGTGTAGAAAGTCAAAGATCGGGTTAACAGCAAAGAAAGAAGAATATATGCCCACAATATCTTTTGAAAGCTGTCACGACTTTGGGCTTGAAAGCAAACCCACCTGCTGCATGGACAGCAAATGTGGAGGCAAAGCTGCAAGCAGAGCAGGTTAGAGCAGGCAGGTTAGGACACCATTGGGAATGCTTGCTCAGGTCACCTTATGCTGTGCATGGCAGCCATGTGGGCAGAAGACAGGGGGTATCCCTATTTATCCCAGACAAGACATGAGGCACAGAGGTAGCTGTATCAATGATAGAATTACAGCAGATTCAAGCACAGACATAACTGAGCCAGATGCAGATCCTAAAATGACTCTGAGATAAGCAGTAATTAAAGACAGGAGATCTAAGAAAGGTGTTTGAAGACAGTCCCATGGGAGAGAGATGTTGAAAACTAACCTATAAAAAGGCTTCCGTTTCCTAAATTATATATGAAGCAAATGACCCACCAAAATCCAAGATTCTCAGATTACCTTGCTGGCTTTGCCACTGGCTGACTGCAGAAATGTGGGCAATCCAGTGAACTTTTCCATTTCTCCACTTCCATTTTTAGCAGGGAGGGAATGGGGGAAAACATGTGGTGCATCCACTTCTGTAAAGATTTTGAAAACTGCAGATGAATGAGCTGCAAGTCATTTTTAAGCAATATTAATCTTCTGCAACAACAACCTATTTCACTGAAACCTTCAACAAAGGCCAAAACCTCGGAGGGACGGCTGCCAGCAGTAAGTTATGCTTCGGTATTCAACCATGCAAAGGATCCATGAGGGGTTTTCATCTGCATCTAAACTCTAATTAGCAGCTCTCTTGATAACTTTATTCCAACATTAAATACCAGCCCTTAATACTTCCCCCTGTGTGTTACTGTCCAAAATACACAGCTATGGATGAGGAATTGCTCGGAAAAGGGGATTCCAGCAAAACCTGCCACCTCTGAGAAACACTGATAGTATGAGGTCAAACTTGGATGAAGGGAGTAGTGAAGTGCCAACATTATTCTCTGCTTTCCAGTGGTCCCACTGATCTTGTGTACAGTAACTTAAGGATCTTGTGATCAGTTTCAATACAGCTAAGCTGGGCTCTGGCTTCAGCCTTGCTGGCACGCATAGATACATATAGTACAAATAGTACACAAGTGTATTTCCACACAGCAAAGTGGGTTGTGTTTTCCACTTGTCATGGATTGATTTAAAAGAATTCCAGGTTGCTGTGAAAGCTGCATATGAACAGGAAGAGTCGGGCTTTTCCCCCCCCCCCCCCCATACAACCTACCATTTCCAAAGCTCCTCAATGTTTTGCAAATTGGAGTCCCACCCTAAGAACTGAAAGAGTCTTAAGAAGCTACCTCAATACATCCCCTTGCTTTTCCTCCTCTCCTTTAAATTCCTCACAGATCAGCAATACTGAACAGCTCTCCAAAACTCTGATGGGCTTGTGTCTTGTCTCACCCTGAGAAGAAAGCTCTACATTACAAGGAATGCTGTGTCAGTTAACACCTATTAACAGTCCTAACAGCAAGTAAACCACCAAGTTAGTGAGCCTCCCATCAAGACACAGCTACAGTGGGGTAACTGACAAGCAGAAGCTGTTCCCCTTTCTACTGTCAATAACATTGCCCAGACATTAAAATAAACTGCATTATGGGTTTCTTCAGAACTTCACAATGCCAAGAAAAGATGCCAAGCTTGAACAGCACCCGTCCTTCCTTCTCACTCCATGAGAGAGGACCATTTTTTTCCCATACGGATATAGTGCACCAGGCTGTCACAGGCAAAACAAAGTGAAAAAACCTAAAGCAAGTGGTAGAACTGAGTACTGAAATGTATTTAAGAACCAAAGAGAGAGCTTTTACCCTGCCTGGTTCTCTCACGTGCATTCATTTTCTCTCCTCCAAGCTTTACACATTCACTAAGTCTTGCCTGCACCTCCCCAGAGGAAGATCACTGCTACCCTGAGAAGGTCAGTCAGAACGTTCTTTGCAGTCACCAGCCTCACCCACAATTGGCCAAGGTCCCTGCACATCCCCAGGCATGTGTGTCCATCCAGCTCTCTGACGCAGCTCTCTCCAGCCAGGACCTTCACCACCTTCTTTCCAGGTCCTCTTCTTTTCAAGACCACTTCTTTTTGGGAAGCCACCTTTTTGACTTCCTTATCTTTCCAGCACCCTAAGCCCCTGACTTTCCCAATCTAAACAGTAATGCAGAAGCACCACACTGATTATTAATCAGAGAGTTTGGGACATTAATGCGAGGATTTAGGATGTGTCACTACCTTTTAGTCCACACGTTACCAACACTGACAGCCAGTCCATCTCAATCACAGCTAGCAAGTAGCAGGCTTCTGCTTGCGAGTTCGAAAGTTCAGTTTCAGACACTGAAACACAGAGGCCCAGTGATATGCCAGCTGTGTGCACTCCCAGTTCAAGCTGCTTTTTCACCTCAGACACAGACAGATATGTTACCCACATTGAGACAAACTCAAATCTGCAGATCATTTCCACATTAAGAGCCATCTCTCCCCAGAGACCAACATGGTAACCGGATTAGGTAATGTGTCATCCTCCAGTCTCAGTTAACTCCCCACACGTGCTCTGGAATCAGTTCAAAT